AACTGTTTATTGACATTGTTATGCTGCTCTCAAGGCAACACGTCACACTACCCCCTCCTTAAAGCTGCTCGTCACGAGCAGCACCCGAATACTACGCCAACCTGTCCAGGTGGACTACCATCATCCGGGCGCTGTCCATCTGCATGTTTATGTGCGTTATAGATTATCCTGTAGTGCAGACTCCATTGTTGACAATCCCACTTCTGACACCAATGTAACGTGGGTCGGGTTTGCGACCTTGGATTGTCAACCCTGATTTATTCACGTCAAATTAAATCAGTTACAGTGGTCTGCACATACAGTCATCTCTCTACAACAACAACACACTCGAGTCTCTGTGCGCACACACACACACATTCTCTTACGCTCTGTCCATCGAGTCTATGTGGTCCCCGGACACAACCAAAAAGCTAACTGAGGGCGGAGGCCTGCGCAAGCGCAAGCATCGTCCCTACCTTTCTCCAGGCTGTGCCGGTGGGGGTCTCGTCCACTCCCAATCCTCCACTCACTCACTACTCCACTCCCTCTCGCCTCTACCTACTCTCAAAGCCGATTGTCAATCGGCTTTATACAAATACAACAATGTCTATGCAACAATGCTAAACGCAACAATGCTAAACGCAACAATGCTAAACGCAACAATGCTAAACGCAACAATGCTAAACGCAACAATGCTAAACGCAACAATTATAAATGAATACAACAATGTCATTAAACAGACACAACAATGCCAGACACAATAATGTCTAACGCAACAATGGCTATAAACAAATACAACAATGCCAAATACAACAATGTCTATAAACGGTTACAACAATGCCAGACGCAACAATGTCAATAAACAGACAACTAAACTGTTTATTGACATTGTTATGCTGCTCTCAAGGCAACACGTCACAATATATATATATACACACATTTTCCCCCCAATAATTTTCAGGGGTGTGGTCACCTTCTAAGTACTCGTCGCCCGACTTTATACAAGTATTTCAATATGTAAGTCATGCAAGCAAACAGAGTTCAAAATTATTTATCGAAAATCGTTTAAATAAGGTTGTCATATTAGCCTACTCCCACTCATGGAGATTCTTTATTTCGGTAATATGAGATAGTAACATATAGCTAAATTAAGCGTCCGATTTTGGTGTTTCGTTTTTGAAATCAACTGCTTATCAACACGTGTTGTGTCAGGAGACAATAAAATTAATTTGGTCGTACATGTATCTGATTTATTTTTGGCGCTGTCTAAAATTTTCAAAACGTGAAGGCAGAATGTTTGAAATACTGCTTCGGATGAACGAGTTCGTAACGGACAATACCCACAATATGTAATAGGCAAATCAGCATAGTGCTGACGGATGATTTTTACATTCGCCAATTTCTCGATCTTGACTAAACTTAAATTTCGGGCGTTTCGTTTCTCTGTAACACTTAAAGATTCAGATTTCACGGCCAGCCATTGTTTCGTGAGAATTATCTGGTATTTCCAGCGACCTTCCTCAAAAGACTGAACACATATATTTTTTCCATTACTGACAACACTTCGTCAATAAAACACTAACTGCAACCACAAAATAAACCTAGTCCCTACCAGCGATTGGTAAAAAGTGCAAATTCACGTGGTTACGTGATTCAACACACGCTAATTCATCAGCGTCACCAGGTTCTGTCAAGAGACGGTCATTTGTCACACCTCGCATACATACAATCATGATAAGAACACACGAAGAAGATCTTTCGCAAGTTTCCGAAAAAGGGGCTCTGTACCTTCGGTCCTGTAAGTCCGACCAAGTACCGAATAAAACGAATCCGCAACTAAGAACCGTGCTTACTGGTCAGGCTCAACTCCAGCTCAGGAGAGATGATGAATGAGAAAGGATTATTTGTGAAACTGTGACTGACGGGGAAACACATCTCAGCGAGCTTTGTCCGCCACAAATCCCACACGGACTTCAACTGCTAATTGTATGCAACGAACACGTGTTCTTTCCTACAACTAATACTAAATGCAAAGTCTAATATTACCACTTTCTGCTCTTTATTTAACGAAAAGCAAACAAGTTCCTAGGTTCCTTCAACGACTTTGGGTCTACTTATGAGGTAACATAAGGTCAAATACTTTTGAAGCTTTATGTCTTCTGGGTTGTTGCGCTGTGTAGTCTGGTCGATGTTTACTAATGAATGAATCGTCCTGATGACGGAGGCAGTATGACCTCCGAAACGTTGGTAAACATTTACCATACTACACGGCGCAACAACCCAGAAGGCAGAAATCTTCTTACTCACCGCTGTGAAAACCTCAAATCATTCAAATACTTCTATTTTTGTAAGTTTATGTGTCGACTATATAATGTCGAATGAGAGGATGCTGGTGAATAATAAACTGAAAGGAATATGGAAGGAAGCGACCATGGTTTAATTTAAGGTACTATCCCGGCACCTGCATGGGGAGACTGAGAAATACGACTATAAATGTCAGAAGAGTCGTCTTCAGGCTGAGATTTAAACCCAGGACTTCTCGAATATGAAGCAAAAGTACTAATCATTTGAACACGTCGTTCAGTATTTGGGGTCGAATAACAAAGGGTAAACTAGTGAAATATAAATTATGCAGGAGAAAATAATCATGAGTCGTTTGTTCGTGCGATCTTGGAACAGCTAATATGATGGTAAATAAAAGATTTAAGAATGATATAGCAGGAAAGCGTTGAAGTCATTGTACAAATATTTGCCTAAATGAATAGGGAAAGCCAACGAAGGTTAATATAGCCTGGTTTCCAGCCGGGGGTTAGACGGAAGAACATTTCCAAACAAAACAAATATTCTGGCCATTACATGATGGCCTCGCCCGCTAGTCGACTTGTGCGTTCCACTGGACGTCGGTCTTCCATTCTTCCTTACATTCAAAACTTAATACTTCCCTATCTATCTCTGTTAATGTCTTCCTTTTTTCCTATTTTTCCTCGTTACCAAAATCGAAGACACTGAATTACTTCATAATTGTACGTCATATCCGTAAATAAAGCATCATACAAAGCCAGGAAAGAATCATTACCTCCTTTTCCCTTCGACGGTCCTCGCGTTTTGTTCATTATTAGAAGCAAATGAGTCGCTGACGTCATGGAAGCTGAAGACCCTCATCAAATCATGCATGACCATTATTCTCTCACAACTATTGTGTCAGTATATTCTGCAGCACGTGTGCGTTATTACACTGAAAGAAAAAACACGAAGGAAAAAAGGGCGAAACTGTTTTTACCGAATACGTTTAGACACACAGGAGAAACGTTAAGGTATAATCGACCAACTGATTATAGGCTTTCTTTTCCAAATTCATTTTAGTAATGAAAAGACCGTTCAGAAACACATACTGAATATTAAGAAGAAAAGGAAGTATTACAATTATGCGAGAGTCTTATAAATTACTAACGTATTTCAATTTCGTTATCCAATGCAGAGTGTGCCAAGAAGCTGGTATTAGGAAAAGTTGCACAGAGTTCGCTGTGTTACACAATGGAGCAGCCCCCGGGACTCTTGTTGCTAAACCCCAGACGGAGGACATGCGAGGTTTTACTTCCGTTCAACAATTCACTGAGACTAATGCCACCTCCGGCTGCATTAAGCGTGACCTACTCGAATGCCCGCTCCTGCCCCAACACGTCTTCTCGATTACCAACACTCTGGTCGCATAACCTTAAGGTTCAGCACCACTAATGCCACAGACATCTCTAAGCTTGTTACTTCCATCTCCTGACCCAAAACAACCAACTAAGGTAAATATTGGTGTTATCCTTCCATCGTGTTCTCGGTCATCCAAGTGCCCATTTTGCAAAAATATTTCCTTGCCAAATTTCTGTATGCAACCATTGTTTCCATTTAGCTGCATGCACAGTCTCTTAGGTATGTCAAATCTCGTATCAGGTCGATGAATCGATCATATCACTGGCAATGATTTTGTATATTCATTTAAATTTTAATATGAGTTTCTTCTGTTATAAATTTGATAGTAAATGCGTCATCTAGACCTTGCTGTACCTCGCAAGTCTGAACTTAGAAATTCACAAAAAATAACAGGGGTATACAGAGTGTGGAGGAGTTCCTGTTTTGCCACCGAAGATAAAAAATCGATAGTGGAAACCTATAATATAACGTGGGATCCGAACCACAGTGTAGGCCTAGCACACCTCACACTGAAAAAGTTTTCTTATTTTCAGAGACGAGGACACAATCAGCATTATACCAGTCCGGTCTTAAAATACAGACCAACTGCAGAAGAGACCATCACAATGGCATTGAAAAGTTCCCCTTATATGTTTACGTCGACTCCTTTTAGTTACTTTCCATATTACACGTGTAAAAATAGGATTTTTGTCAACTTGTAACTCATTTCTGTGTTCGTCTGCGCAGTAATTGTAAACCTCTGACCCCAGATACTGAGTAATGTTCTGATGCCTTGATTAACATTTTCTCCATCAATCATGTACAACGTGCAACGCTGGTAGGCATAAAATCTTCGTGTGATGATAGAGCCTTGATAAATAATAAAAATTTATCCTTGTCATTCAGAAAATGAAATGCATCTGCATCTGAATTCCGACGTCACCCCAACTGTTTTAGCTTGTACTGTAACATTTTAAAACTGGAAGTTCAAATAAAAGCAGTTATAGATTCTGTCTCAAATACCGTCTCTTGGAAACATTCAAATGAAGGG